TTTGATGAAAATATTTCTCGATCCAATTGGTCATATCTATTGTTGTCATGATTTATTAATTTGTTCTTATTATAAAAACAATGTTTTGGATTTGAAAATATTAAAGAAAATGGACAAATTGATAATTTTTAATAATATTTCTAAAATCAATAAAGAAAAATTATCTTTAATTACTGAGAATGATGGAAAATATGCTTGGTATTATATAACTTTATTTTATAATGACAAACCTTGTTCTTTGGATGGTTTTAAATTATACGATGACAATAGTTATGAATATTCTAGAATTAAAAATGATAATAGAACAGAATTTTTTTTATTTAAAACAAAGTCGAATCTTTATTTTAAAGATGATTTAATATACAAAATTTGTTACAATGAATATAAATTAACTAATTTTCATAAAAATGGAAAAATATGTATTTATTTAACTTTGAATAATCATATTCTAAATTTAAGTGATTTTAAATGTAAATTTATTAACAAAGAAGCTTATACAATTAATATTGATAAAAATACATTAGATAGTGTGTTGTTTAATGATAACAAGGTTGAAGAAATCGAAGTAGAAAATGATGATGTTAGAGATTATTATAAGTTAAAAAATGAAATTGGTCACTATTTTATTTTATATAAAAATAGTGTAATTAAACATATTAGCACATATAATTATTTTGATTATTATGATGTAGAAGAATATAACATTTCTGAAAAAATTTTTATTAAAAGTGTATAATAATCGTTTTGATTATGTATTAAATTATTTATTTATTACTAATCATCGTATAAATAAATGTTAAGCAATATTTTAAGAAGAAAAAATAATGTCAAAATTTCCAAAATACAAATTATTGATAGATATTTTTTTAAATAAGAGTAAATCCATCGAGTTTTTATTTAATGAAAATATCTTAGAAAACCCAACAAGTTGTTTAAAATGTAATAAAAAAAATTTTTTTCGTGAAGATAAAAGATTTCGATATAAAAACAAATGATGTCGAGGATCTGTTTCGATATTCAAAAATTCATTTTTTTCTAATAATCATTTAAAATATGATGATACTTTGTATATCACATATCTTTGGTTAGCAAAAGTTTCTACTAACTCAATATTAAAAATAACGGGTCACTCACCTAATACGATAACTTATTATTTGGATTTTTTTCAAGAGTTGGTAATTAATATGTTAAAAGATAAACTAAATAAGATAGGTGGTAAGAACATAATAGTGCAAGTTGATGAATCTAAATTCAGTAGACATAAATATAATCATGGATGAAGAATGAATGGTGTTTGGGTTATCGGAGGGGTTGAAATTACGGATGAAAAGTGATGTTTTTTGATAACGATTGAAAAAAGAGATAGTGAAACTATTCAAAAAATTTTAAACGAATACATTAAGCCAGAATCGATACTTTACACTGATTGTTGAAGAGGGTATAATGGTATTAAGGATGGGTTAAATATGCAGTATAAAACAGTAAATCATTCAAAGCATTTTACAGATCCGGTTACAGGTGTAAATACAAATACTATCGAAGGTATTTAGAATAGTGTGAAATTACAAATCGCATCACATCATAGATGTAAGAATTTAATAAAAAAACATCTCTTTGAATATATCTGGCATAGGAAAAACAAAAATAATTTATGAGAAGCATTTTTGGATGCGTTACGTACAACTGCATATCCATCTAATTAATTTATTCTAGAATTTTTTTGTACGATGTAATTATTTTTATGTGATATTTAATAAATATGTACCCAATTTTCCCATTATTCTATATATCATCTGTTTAGACAAATTTGTCTAAAAAACAGTTAATAATTTTTTTTAAAAGTTAATATAAATATTTAAAATTAACAATACTAAATTAGTATTACTAATATTATATTAAGAATTTTACTAAAATGCACCTATAGTGTTTTTACACCACAGGTCCCATTTCTCAAAAATATACTAAATAAACAGAATCAGGTTTTTTAAGTAAAAATGTTCAGGACCCCAAAAACCTCACAAGAACTAAGATTGGGCCCTATTGGGCCTTTATAATAGCTTTATAATATATTATATAAAAAAAATAATTCTTAATTTCCTAACCCTAACCCTAAATTTTATTAAAAGAAATTATATATAGATGCTTAATAATTCTTATATTAATTTGAAATTATTAATTTTAAATAAAAAATTACTAATTGTTTTAAAACAAATTTGCTTAAAAATTTATTATCAAATAGTTAGTTAGATTTATTTAATCTTGAAAAATTATACATTAGAAGAGATTTATTTATTATAAATTAGTAAAAAGTAATATAAATTTAAGAATTACTATTTGTATACTAGTGTGTACTTTGGGGTTCTAACAAAAAATAATCTATGCAAAATTTTAGTATAAAATATCTCTAACTCTAACTCTAACCTTAATATCAGGTAGTTTTTTTTCTATAAATTTATATATTGCACGAATTTGCAAATTAATTAATTAATACCCATGTCTATATACTAGCATAAATTTATAAATTTTCTATAAATTTATATTTTTTTATATAATAATTAGTAAATTAATCTACTATAAAATTTAAATAATATCTATAAAATTTTAAACTAAATTTGAACTTGAATTTATATTTAAAATTTAAGTAGTTTAGATTTATAAATTTTAAATTTAGTTTATATTCAAGTTCAAAGATTCGCAAAATTTAAAGTTAAAGTTTTAGATTTATTAAATTTAAACTAGAATTTTACTAAACTAAACCAAAATATAGAAACACTATATACTAGTATTAACAATTGATACTTAAATAAATAAAGAATTAATATAATAATTATAAAAAATTACTTTGTTTATTTTATATTTATATTACAGTATTATAATTTATTATACTTTATAATAGCTTGTCTTTCTAAATAATAATAATAATAATAGTAATAGTAATAAAAGTTTAAAATTAAATTTATATATAAACTTGTAAATAAATTAAAGTGTTTTTTTTTTATAAATTTAATATATATTAATTTGTACTAGTTTTAATATATTAATAATTGCATATTTAAAAAAAAATTTTAAATTTTCTTAATAAATGATGCTAAACTATTTTAGAATAGTTAACTGATTCCTGTATATAAATTTAATCTATTTTATAATATATACTAAAACTACATAGCACAAAAAACTTAAATCCAATCTATTAAAAAAAAAATTCAACCAAAAAAAAACCACTTTTTTAAAAAGCTGCCGCAGTTGATTTAAATAGAACTACTTTATTGTTAGGGAATTGCTATTTCCACCATGGTTACACAAGATTTTCTATTTTTAGATAACAATATAAAAAACTCATTACCCT